AGAGAAGAGGAGGAGGAGGAGGAGGAGGAGGAGAAGAGAAGAGGAGGAGAAGAGAAGAGGAGGAGGAGAAGAAGAGAAGAGAAGAGGAGGAGAAGAAGAGAAGAGGAGGAAGGGGTAAGTGGGAGGCAGCGGGGCAGGAGTGGGTGTAGAAAGCTAATTACAAATATGGGGCAGCAGGGCTTTGGCCACTCAGGTTCATGGAGGAGGCTGTAAAGGTCAGAAAGCGAGCCCGAGAATAGTTGTGTTGGGAGTGTGGGGGGAAACACAGAGACATGGAGGAGCCCTTCATCAGACCAGTCGCGAGATGGTATTGCCGAGATGGAAGTAGACATTGTTTGTAACAGATATGGCCGAAAGCTCAGCTCGGTGTCTCATTGAATGCTCGAGACTGCGAACACTCTCCCCGTCTCTTGGAGCTTTTCCCATTGCTTTAACGCACTTGGCTAGATCATGGAAAAACATGTTTTTCCACTTTCTTCTGTGGATGAGGGAATAGTTCAAACGCGCGGACCTCTTCACCCTCCCAAACCAAACAGAAATCATTAAACTGCTGCCCTGGAATGGAAAATGTCAGTTCGCCTCGAAACAGGGACCAAGGGAAGCAGCTCCCATTCCGAGGGGCCTAACTGATTTAGGCCCAACATCAGAGATGCTGTCTTGTTAAAAACATTAGGGTACTTCTGAAATTATTGCGCAAATGCCAAAAATGCTCAATCTCCCAAGCCAATATTGACACAATTCTTCAAACTCTAAGCAAGAACAGAAAATACCCTGCTGGGAAATGCTTACTCACCATGCTCTTGACAAATTCCTGGCAAACACCTCCAAACACAAAGCAACAAAAAAAAAAAAAAACATTCTGGGTGACCCTGCACAAAGTACTTGCGCTGCCCATTAACAGCCAACCCAAAGCTGGCCCAGGTACAAAGTTGCTCTGCCAGTATGGAAGCCTGCCCCAGCTCTTGCCTGCTACTCCATCTTCTCTTACTTTCATGGAGAGAGAACAAAATAATCATTGGAATTCCCTTCATGCAACGCCACAGAAGCATCATATTCAAGCTTGGAACAGCAGAGTCGATACCCAAGCCTCAGACGAGAGAATTTTGTAAGCGGCACGCTCCCCACCTCGGAGTCAGGAAGTGGTGTTTGAAAGTTCCACTCCCTCCCAGAGATTTACACACGTAATCCCGGCCACCAGTGTACAACTGAAGGCGTCTGTCCATTTCTGGTGGTGCTATCTTCTCGATGAGTCGTTAGACGGAGGCACTGTTTTCCCTAAATTAGAGGAACACAAGGCAGCGGGGAAGCCGGAGACCCATTCAGCCCATCGAGCCTGTTCCACTCAATGCCTGATTTGACCACGGCGCCCCCCCCTCCAATACCAATACCAATACCAATACCAATAACCCTGGACTGTTGGCGGCCTGTCCAACTCAGCAAAGGCTCCAGCTTGACTGAGAGAAAATGAATGCCTAGCCATTTCTGTCTTAAATTGGGAGCACACCTCATACTGAAACTATACTCCTGGTTGTAGATTGCTCCCAGGAGGAGGAAACATTCTCTCAGCACACATGCTGGCTCAGAATACATTGCTCAGAAGATCGCCTCACGTTCTTCGAAACTCTAATGGGTGTTGGCCCAAATGGATCAACTTTTCCTCAGAATTGCAGAATCCCTACAGTGTGGGGGAACATCTACTCTGTTACTTCTTTACTTAGCGGGTGGCACAGTGGCTAGCACCGCTGCCTTACAGCACCAGGGACCCGGGTTCGATTTCACCCTCGGGCAACTGTATGTGTGGAATTTGCACATTCTCCCTGTGTCTGCGTGGGTTTCCTCCCATAGTCCAAAGATGTGCAGGTTGGGTCGATTGGCCATGCTAAATTGCCCATAGTGTTCAGGGATGTGTAGATTAGGTGGGTTATAGCGGGATGGGTCTGGGTGTGGACTTGTTGGGCCGAAGGGCTTGTTTCCACATTGTAGGGATTCTACGAAATAGAAAGTGTGTTGGAAGCAGGCTGTTCGGCCCATGGGGTCCACACTGACTCTACGAAGCGTGTCTCACCCCTCCCTACCCTATGACTAATCCACCCACCCGGAGGAAACCCACATAGACATGCGGAGAATGTGCAAATTCCACACAGACAGTCGCCCGAGGGTGGAATCGAACCCGGGTCCTTGGCACTGTGAGTGAGCAGTGCTAACCATTGAGCCACAGTGCTGCCCTCGACATCCCAGGAGGGATCAGCCGTGTGAACCTTTTCTGAACTGTTTCCAATGCTAATATGACTGGCATCCGTCCGTCTTCAGCAGACAAGAACGCAAGCTCAGTATTTTGGTCGCGTCAGATGATTTGAATGTAACAATATGCTCTTTACGGTAACAGGTTGTATACAGTACTCCAGGTCGGTTCTCACCAAAGTCCTGTACTGTCATAGCAAGAGTTCCCTACTTCAATACCCTATCCTGCTTGCAATAAGATCATAGAATCCCTAAGATGTGGCAACAGACCCTTCGGCCCAACAAGCCTACACTGACCCTCAGAGCATCCCACCCAGACCCATTACCCCTATAACCCACCTCATCTACACATCCCTGAACACTACGGGTAATTTAGCATGGCCAATCCACCTATCCTGCACATCTTTGGACTGTGGGAGGAAACCAGAGCACCCGGAGGAAACCCAACGTGCAAATTCCACACAGACAGTCACCCGAGGGTGGAATCGAACCC